CTCTTTCCATTATCACCCTGAATGGAACTCAAGTAAGTGGATGGAATAATCAGTTACTACATATAATCAATCACAACTTAATGAGTCTGGGTGCAACTGAGTTGATGTTTATGCCTGGTTTCTATATCATCACTCAGGTCATCTTGTCAATAAAATGGGAAACCAGGCCTTCTAATAGATTGTAACAGATCAGTATAACTTTCAAAAGGCAAAACTTGAAAAGTGCATTACAGTTCATGCTGGTCAAGCTTGCTTTCAAATATATTAATATTTGTTAAATGGATCAGTTCTTCTTGTTATGTTTTGTAGGAATGTAGAGATCTGAACAATTTCTCATCGCTCAAAGCTATCTTGTCTGGTCTGCAGTCAGCTTCAATTCACAGACTCAAAAAATCTTGGTCTCATGTTTCTAGGTAATTACATTTCCAGCCATATAGTACTAAGAAACAAACATATTGTGCTGAAAATGACAAAATGCTTATTGTTATTACTTTGTTGGGCATTGTGGCATATTTCTCAGTTCTCATTTTCTCAATACCCTCCAAAGTGGTAAAGATAGTAATACAGCTTATGTTCCTTTGCATAAATTTGTTTTTGGCCCTTCCCAGGGCTTATCGTAACCCTGTTGGCTTAGGCTAAAATGACTCTGAGCTAGGCTCAAAACAGGTTTAGCAGTATGTCCATGAACATAACCTCTATTGTGTACCTACATAAGTATGGGATAAACTCAGTGCAACAGAGTAGTAAAATATTTCTCTGAAATGTAGAAAGAACTTCATCATGAGCCTCTTCATTTCCAAGCAATGTGAGAGGGGCTAATGCCTTAAGCACACAAGTACAAAAATAAACCACAGACCTTACTCCAAATTGATTACAATTTTGTTGTCAGTGTGGAGGTATCTTAATGAGCACTCTTTGCGTCAGGGGCATTTTCAGAATTCAAAAGTGTTTAAGTGTAAATTCAGGCAGGGAGATCCAATTGACATTATGCCAAAGGAATGATATTATCTGCCATTTCTGAATATGCTGCGTATGCTTCTAGAACGCCATAAGACATAACAGACGAGTACTTGGTGTTTCTTTCTTTTCTTTTTCTTTTTTTTTTTCCGGGAGACTGCTGTTGGTTAGATACTGTGCTGCAATTCATTTTTTCAATACGGAATTTTGCTTCTCTATTCTTCTTATGACTTTAAATCCACCCAAGAATAACCCCCTCCCCTCCCCCCCCCCAAAAAAAAAAAAAAAAAAAAAAAA